TGTACTTGGACCCATTCTCTTTAATATTTTTATTAGTGATATTGCAGAAGGTCTTGATGGTAAGGTATGTCTTTTTGCTGATGATACTAAGATGTTCCAGGAGGGATAAGCCGAATGGCAAATGATTTAGGTAAACTAGAAAAATGGCCTAACCTCAACATCTGAGGAAAGGGATTTAGGGGTGATTATTTCTGATGACTTAAAGGAAGGCAGTCAATGTAATAGAGCAGCAGGAAATGCTAGCAGAATGCTTGGTTGTATAGGGAGAGGTATTAGGAGTAGAAAGAGGGAAGTGCTCATGCCATTGTACAGAACACTGGTGAGACCTGACTTGGAGTATTGTACACAGTACTGGAGACCGTATCTCCAGAAGGATATTGATACTTTAGAGAGAGTTCAGAGAAGGGCTACTAAACTAAAACTAAACTAAACTAAATTAAATACATAAAGGGAATCAACAGTAAAGGAGGAGAATATATTTAAAAGAAGAAAAACTACCACAACAAGAGGACATTTTTAAATTAGAGGAGTAAAGGTTTAAAAATAATATCAGGAAATGTTACTTTACTAGAGGCTAGTGGATGCATGGAATAACCTTCCAGCTGAAGTGGTAGAGGCAGGGGCGTAGCTAGAGCATTTGGCACCCGGGGCGGATCTTGTGCTTGGCACCCCTCCACCCCCCCCCAAAAAAAAAACCTGTAAAAAATGTTAAAGGTTTTCTTTCTTTTTTTTACAATTTGTAAACTTTGCAAAACCGCTGTCAGCCCCTCCTACAAAACCCTTGTCCTGCCCAGCCCCTCCTACAAAACCTCTGTCCTGCCCCTTCTACAAATCCTGTACTACCCAGTCTACAAAACCCCCTCAACCCCCTTCCACAAATCCCCTGCTTATCCCCCCTTATAAAGACTCCTGTCCCAATACAAAACACCCGCCCCCTTCTACAAAATCCCTGCAGCCCCACACACACACATTTACAGGCAGACAGTCACACACTCAGTTACAGACAGACAGTCACACACTCAGTTACAGGCAGACAGTCACACACAGTCACAGGCAGACAGTCACACATACACATTTCCTCCGTGCGGCCAGTTTATCAGCTGTTTGCTTGTGTGAGCTGTACTGGCTGCACGGCACCCTAACTACCATGGGACATTGTGCGGCCACAGCTCACACAGCCCCCTCCAGCCAGGGCCGGTGCAAGGATTTTTGCCGCCCTAGGCAAAAGTAAAGTTTGCCGCCCCCCCATGTGACATCACAATGCCCCACACATATGATTTGCCATGTTAACTAACGCCAGTGCTGCAGTGCCGCCGTGTTTACATTAAAAGGCCTGCAGGGACAGGCTATAGACACCAGAACCATTACATTAAGCTGAAGTGGTTCTGGGGACTATAGTGTTTCTTTAATGTGAGGTAAATTAGAGCTTAGTGCCACGAATAATATACTAGATTGCCTACTTACATCCAGATGAGGATGATGATGGGCTCTAGCTGCAGTCTGGCTCCACTGGTCTGGTGTACAACAGGCTCTCTGGAGGCGGTTTGTAACTGTGGTCACAAAAATCACTGTTCTGGGAGAACGGGAAGCAGCTCCATTTTTTTGAGGGCCCTTTACACAGCTCAAGGTCTGGGTCCCAGGGTCCACCTTCAAGTTCCACCAATGAGTTTGTTCACAGGGAGTGGAGTGTGTGTGTGGGGGATGTCCTGATGTGTGTAAGGAATGCATTGTGTGAATCTGTGTTTGTATGTGTAAGGGCTGCAAAGTGTGTTTGTGTATGTATGGGATGCAGTGTGTGCGTCTGTAAGGGATGCATTGAGTGTGTGTAATGAATGCATTGTGTGTTTCTGTGTTTGTAAGGGATGCATTGTGTGTAACGGTTGCATTGCTTGTGTATGTGTGTCTGTGTGTGTAATGCATTGTGTGTTTTTCTGTGTGCAAGGGGTGCATTGTGTGTATGTGATGAATGTCAATCTCACCCCACCCCCTGCCCCCCCTCCCTTTGCTGTAGCGTGGCCGAGCCCTGTATAGTCTGCGGGTACAGGGAGCATCTGTTTCCTGTACCCGGCCAGACTAACAGGAAGTGCTCACTCAGTGTGCACTTCCTGTTAGTCCGGCCGGGTACAGGAGTCAGCTGCTCCCTGTACCCGCGGACCAATAGAGGGCTCGGCCACTCTACTACTGAGGGAGTGACAGGAGCGAGCGCTGAGCGTTTCCCTCCTGTCAGACCCTCTCCTCAGGCTGCGCCCGGGTGGTGCGGTCCGCCCTCATGGACGCACCGCCCGGGCAAAGCTGCAGCCGCCTAAGGCTCTCTACAGAGCGCTCGGGCGGCTGCAGCATGGGGGGGGATAGCGGGGCTGGTCATGGCACCCCCCACCCTGGTGGCACCCGGGGCGGACCGCCCCCTCCGCCCCCCCTTAGTACGCCACTGGGTAGAGGTTAACACAATAAAGGAGTTTAAGCATGCGTGGGATAGGCATAAGGCTATCCTAACTATAAGATAAGGCCAGGGACTAATGAAAGTATTTCGACAATTGGGCAGACTATATGGGTCAAACAGTTCTTATCTGCCGTCTCATTCTATGTTTCTATGTTTCTATGTCTCACTGCCTTTTTAATTGTTTGTATGTCTATAAATAACTAGAGTGTTGTGACTATAAATTACCCTTGAAAAAAGCATAACAGCCGAAACGTTGGGTGTCCAGCTCTGTCCACTTGTCAAGTAATATTGTACAGTAATTATATTCCTTTCATTACTTATTACACTGTATAGTGTTTAAGTTATTTGTATATCAGACAGATTAATTCTAGTACATGTATCATTATTATAGGTATGTATAGATTAATTTGTATTTACTATTGATTTTGTATTGAATTTTTTATTTTATTTTTAAGCTATTTTGGTTGTGCAGGTATTCCTTTAATAGTGATGTACCGAACGGTTCGCTGGCGAACGGTTCCTGGCGAACATAGCATGTTCGCGTTCGCCGCAGCGGGCGAACATATGCGCGGTTCGACCCGCCCCCTATTCGTCATCATTGAGTAAACTTTGACCCTGTACCTCACAGTCAGCAGACACATTTCAGCCAATTAGCAGCACAGCCTCCCTAGCAGACCCTCCCACCTACTGGACAGCATCCATTTTAGATTCATTCTCAAGCTGCATGCTTAGTAAGAGGAGGGAAAGTGTAGCTGCTGTTCATAAGATAGGGGAAAGCATAGCTAGGTTAGGGATAAGGGTATGCTTTTTTTTTATTTTATTTTTCTATGTAATGTAAATGCACTTAGTTGTCTGCCACTGCTGCCAGCTTCTGTGTCAGGCTCACAGTGCCCACTTCCCCAGTCAGTGCCACCAATTACATCTGGTGTCACAATAGCTTGGATTTAAAAACAACAAAAAACTTTTTTCACTGTTATTGATTGAATAGCAGTCAGTTGTCTGCCACTGCTGCCAGCTTCTGTGTCAGACTCACAGTGCATACTGTGCCCATTTCCCCAGTCAGTGCCACCAATTACATCTGGTGTCACAATAGCTTGGATTTAAAAACAAAAAACTTTTTTCACTGTTATAGATTGAATAGCAGTCAGTTGTCTGCCACTGCTGCCAGCTTCTGTGTCAGGCTCACAGCGGATACTGTGCCCATTTCCCAAGTCAGTGCCACCACTTATATCTGGTGGTCACAATAGCTTGAATTTAAAACAAAAAACTTATTTCACTTTTATAGATAGAATAGCAGTCAGTGTCCTTAAAGC